ACTGCAGAGGGTGTGTGGAGCCCTTCCAGAAGTGGCAGATGGAGGATCACCCTCATTGCAGTGGGAAGAGGAGGCCACAGTCACTTCTTGGCTCCAGCCTTCAGGTAACAGCCTGGGCCAGGCTGCCAGGGAAGAGGCTGGCAGGTAGCCCTGCAGAGTGGAAAATCACCCACTGGTCTCCTCCAGGCTCTGGGCCATGGGGCCTGGGGCAGCCCTGGGCCCAACCTGGCTCAGCCTGCCCTTGGTTGGTTGGCGGTGTGGCCCAGCTGCCAGGCCCTCCCCAGGTTGAGTTCCCAGAGTCAGCCGTTTCCCCTCTCCTCTGGGGGGTGGTGCTGTGGTCTAAGTACTTCGAAAGAGTTCAAATGTCTTCTCTCCTATGCCCTCTCCCCTCTTCCCGCGTGGCCTGCTATCTGGCACCAGAGTCTTTCCTGAGGCTCAGTGGGACAGAAGCACCCCCGGCTACACAACCTCCCCTCTCAGGCTGTGGGGGGGCGGGGAGGGGGGCTCCCAGACCTGTCCCTGTGCTTGGGTTGTCTAAGCTGGAAGTGCAAACTGGGGGCTCCCGCTGTGGAGGGAGACTTTCTCCCCGTCAGCTGCAGAGGACGAGCTTGGGCTTTTCAGCATCTTTGGGGTCCTACACCTGTCTTGGCATCTTTCTGACACTAGGTGTAGGAGAGGTTCTCAGCGCCCGCAGGGGCCCCACGTCTAAGGGACCTGGCCCAGTCCCACCTCCCCTCTCTCGGTGGTAGTCAGGTCCCGTCTCTCCTCTTTTTATCCCTTGAATCATAACAGGTCAGTATTTAATGCTACAAAGTCCTATAACCCTTTATTTTAAAAAAAAATCAAAATAGGAAACTTGTTTCTCAATACATCCTCCATCTGGGTCTGTTCACTTCTAAAGGCGGTCTGTCCTTCTCTCCAACTCTTCCCTGAAGAATTCTGTGCTCTCTGCTGCCTTTACATCAACCTGGTGGCTTCAACACCTCCAGGGACTCAAGTCACGTCCCGCTAAACATCCTGTGAGTCTGGGGAACCAACAGGAGACTGAAGGGGCAAGGTGTGGCCTGTCAGGAGGATAGGTTAAGGTCTCCCAAAGAAATTCTCGTAGGGTCAGCCCTGATCCTTTCTAAGAATGAGCAGCAACATTGGTGTGATGGGGGAAAATCTCACTGCAACTTCTCAGGCCTTGTTACCAGTGCAATTCTTAATTTTCTTGGAATTTCTTTCTAAGAAACTCCTCTGATCGTCCCGTGGCCTTTGAGAAAATCTACCAAGGTGATGCCTTTATTCAAACAAGCAACATAAACAGTCGTCACAACCTTCTGAGCTGGCTTCTCTGCCTTGAGTTTTCCTGGCCCCACAGAACCCCCCCAGAAGCCACTGTTCTGATAAAATCTCTTTTCTCCTGGCCTCCTAGCGAGACTCAGACCAGTGTGCTATTGGGAAAACTTGTCTGTAGCCATCTGCAGATGGCAGACTTGTTTAAGCGTGTTTCATGTCTGAACTGCACACCCAGTGGCAATACTTTTTCTACTTACCCTCCTACCCACATGTGCATATGTGATCGGTCAGCCACGTGTAGTTCTTTTCACGTGTGGCTCTCATGTTAGAAATGGCACTCCAATGTGGCTGTGAGGTGGGCCCTTTTTTACTGGCCGTACTAAGATTGTCCTACAGGCCACGCTGTCGACAAAAAGAGTAGTGCCGCAGTCTACAGCCAAGACAAGGAGCCGTGAACTTCGTTGTCTCGCAGTCTACAGCCAAGACAAGGAGCCGTGAACTTCGTTGTCTCGACATCCATGTGCAATTCAGTTGATCTCTCGCAGTGAAAAGTTGGCTTTCACTCATTTGGCATTAAGTGACTCACACGTCAGTTTTGATGCTGGTTTCATAATAAATGCTATAATTATAAGCAAACAAAGGAAAATATGTCATGAAAGACATTTTTTTGTCATCAGAAAACATCACATCTATCTTACTATATTTTATTTTGGACAGATCTTCCATCTCTAACATCTTATCATTCAAAACATTCCCTTGTATTCTTCGCTCTCACAAATCGTTCCATTATTTCTTTACCATTAAGCTGCCAGACAGCATCGACTCTTCATACGTAATAAGGACAATGAATCGAGTCTTTGGCTCAGTGCCGTCAAGTCAGTTGTGATCTTACCGACCCCGTGGGATCAGGTGGAACGACTCCTGTGTGTTTCCAAGACTGTCGCTCTTTAAGGGAGTAGAAAGCCTCATTTTCCTCCTTGGAGCAGCAGGTGGTTCAAACTGCTTACCTTGAGGTTGGCCCTACACCACCAGGGCTCCTTCGAGGCTCCTTATGGACGAAATGAGCATTCTGTTGTGCAGTGTGACCCTCAGCGTGAGGAGTGTGTGTAGAGTGCTTCGATGCTGGAAGAACACAGTGTGCGCTGTGTTCTCTTACAGAATCATACGCATCGACATGAGGAAAAATGACCTTTCCTGAAGCTGTAACCCTAGCTGTCCTGTAAGCATGCCGCTGTCCTATCCGTGAAGGATTGTGTCTGAGTCATCAGGCTCAGCCCTGGTTACCTTCATGCCTACTACATCAGGCATGTCCACGTTGCTTCCAGAGGGAAATCGAGTTGGAATAACTCCATACGCTTTCAGTGCGAGCGCCCTGGGTGCCCAGTGCCGCACGTGGTGGCATGTAACTGGTCTGTGAGTCCTTCCGGAGCACTCCGGTCACTGTCTGCTGCTTTCTTGTGCTGCTTTGATGGGGACGCACGAGCCTCCGTGTTTGGCAGTATTTGCTCTGGTTGCGTTTTCAACATCTCGTGTTACGCAGACGCTCTCTTCATGGTTGGGAGAGACCTGTGCGTGTCTTTACAGTTTTCCTTCCGAATCTTGGAGAGCTTGACTCGGCTGGTGGGAAGCCGCCCTTCCCTGGTCCACACAGCCAGCACCAAAACATGCCCTGGGCTTGCCCGTCTTTGGCTTTGTTTTCGGCCTCTGGGCTATCTCCCTTTTGAAAGCCTGGTCTTCAGCTCTGTGCTCTGAAGCTGGAGCGCACCCTTCCAGGACGACACTCTTCGTTCCGCAGGAGCTTACACGCTTGGCACGCGGTTCGCAGATTTCCACGAGGAATTAGCCCATTTCCTGACCCAGACAGATCACGTAAATGGGCTGATAAAACAGAAATACAGCATTCTGGTGAGAACTCTGTCCTGGAAGACAAATTGAGACACATACGTTGTTGGAAAACAGAACCATTTTCCGCAGGAAATGAGATTTGGATTTTGTGTCCTGATGTGGGGTGCTGAGTCCCTGGTTGGGCAGCACTGACGGTGATGGCAGCACCCTTGGCTGTCCCTAGAACAGGCAATACTCAGGGAAGCCCGCGTAGGACACCCATCACAACCTTTTGCTAGATTGTAATCGTCCTGGTACTTTTTTAGGACATTGGCTATGTTTGTGCTGTTTTATCACTCATTAGTGTTACATTACATGTCTGGTAGGTTGCATCCACAGGGAGGCCAAGCATATTTTGGAGTTAGTTGTGATTATTTTTACTTAACAAAATGTGGAATGTAACTCTCGTACATAAGATGCTTCCTCCTCTTTTTGTCTTTCAATTCCAGACCTGTCGTTGCCATTATTGTTTCCAAGTAAAACCTCGGGCAGACAGGCCCATAAGTTCTATGCAGTTAAAAGATAAGTGAATTGAATTCTCTGCAGTGGTTGGCGTGTCTGAGTTCCCAGGCTATTGCACGTCCTCTGGGACCAGAGTCCCCACTGGCTGTTTAGCAAGATCTGTGCAAAAGCAAACGTAGCCTGTGTGTGTGTCATGCCCGGGAGCATGGCTGGGGGCTCCAGCAGGAGAGAACAGGAGAGTTCTCTCCGAGTGGATCAGACACCTGTTGGCTATTGAGATGACCCACCCTTGTCCAGAGGGCAGTAAATGTAGCAAGAGTAGAGCTTGACTGTCCACCCCAGCCTCTCCTTGATTGGAAGACCTAGTGTACTGTCCAAGGTCCTGCCAAGTTAGGGCCTTCCAGTTACACCTTGGAGACATGACCATGAAGATGTTGAGGTGGGAGGGGCTTCATGACTTCAGCCTTGCCCGTGGTGCCCTCGTGACCCTGCAAGAACCTTGTTTCCACTGGCACATTCACACACGGGGGCTGGCATCAGCCTCAGTTAGCACCCTGCCAGCCCCCTCCCGTTACAGTGCTCCCTTTTCCTTGTGCCCTGCCTGCCTGGCATCGACGAGCCTTGCTCTGGACAACTGGTACCCGCTTACTTTGCTTACTGAGGGGTCTGTCCCTCATCCCCATGTAAGATGAACTCTTACTGTGTGCCACAGATTTGGAAGCTTGGAAAATGCTTCCAGGCATAGAGGCTGACCGAAGGGGGAGGGGGGCTGGCTGGGGGGACTACCGCAGCCCGCGGTGTTGCAGGTAAACCTGTGGCTCTAGGGATTGTGAGATGAATGAAGCCAGGTCGGAGGCAGTTCTGTCCTGTCAGCGCCGATCCAATGGCAGTGAGTCTGGTGGGGGGGTTTTC